TGGTAGTGTGGTGGTAGTGTGGTGGTGTAGTGGTGATGGTAGTGGTGGGTGGTGGTATGTGGGATGGTGGGTAGTGATGGTGGTAGTAATGGTAGTAGTGGTAGTTGGTATGGTAGTGATGGTGGTTTGTGGTGGGTGGTAAGTAGGTGATTGGTAGTATGGTTGGGAAGGTGTGTGGTGGTAGTGGTGGTGGTATGTAGTGATGGTGGTAGTGGTGGTGGTGGTAGTGTGTGGTGTAGTGGAATGGTGTAGGTGGTGTAGTGGTTGGTAGTGTGTGGTGGTGTATGGTAGTGTGTGGTGGTAGTGATGGTGGTTAGTGGTGGTGGATGGTGTGGTGGTAGTGGTGGTGGTTTAGTGGTGGTGTGGTAGTTGGTAGTGGTGGTGGTGTGTATGGTGTGATGGTGGTAGTGGTGGTGGTAGTGGTAGTGATGGTGGTAGTGGTAGGGGATGGTGGGTGGTGGTGGTTTGGGAGTGATGGTGGTAGTGGTTTAATGTAGTGATGGTGGTAGTGGTGTGGTTTTGATGGTGGTAGTGGTGGTGGTAATGTAGTGATGGTGTAGTGGTGTGTGGTAATGGTAGTGTGGTGGTGGTGGTGGTTGGTATTGGTAGTGATGGTGGTAGTGGTGGTGGGCAGTGGGTAAGTTGATGGTGGTAGTGGTGGTAATGGTAGTGATGGTGGTAGGTTGTGGTAATGGTAGTGATGGTTAGTGGTGGTGGTAATGGTAGTGGGTGGTGGTAGTAATGGTGGTGATGGTGTGTGGGAGTGGTGGTGGTGGTAGTGATGGATGGTAGTGGTGGTGGTAATGTGTGAGTGATGGTGGTGAGTGGTGGTGGTAATGGTAGTTTGGGGGTGGTGGTATGGTAGTGATGGTGGTATGTGGTTGGTAATGATAGTGTGGTGGTATGGTGGTGGTAATGGTAGTGTGGTGGTGGTATGGTAGTGATGGTGGTAGTGGTGGGGTAATGTCTTACATGGGGATGGTGTGGTAATGATAGTGTGGTGTGGTGGTGAATGATAGTGATCGGTTAGTGGTGGTGGTAATGGTTAGTGTTGGTTCGTGTAATAGTGATGTTGTGGTGGTGGTTACTTGATAGTGCATGGTGGTTAGTGGTGGTGTAATGGTAGTGGTGGTGGTAATATAGTGATTGGTTAATTGGTTGGTTATGGTAGTGATGGGGTGGTTGATGGTGAGTAAGTGTTGGTGGATGGTTATGATGGTGGTATAGGTTAGTGGTTTATGGTAGTGACGTGGTGGTAGTGATGTTGGTGTGGTATGTGGTATGAATGTGGTTGCTGGTACATGTGTGTACTTTTATCCTCGTACTTTGTACTTTTACTGGTTAAATCTTAGTTTTTTATGTTTTGACTTATTAGTTATGCGTGATGTGTACTGGTATGATTCTGGTTTATACATGCGGTTTTAATGCTAGTGATCTTGGTAGTGTAGTGAGTGGTAGAAACTTTTCATCTTGTCCCACATTACCTGCACTCTTACCCTTTCCCGCTGGGTACCACTGGCTCTTACTAGGACACTCTACTTCCCACCCTTCCTTCACTATACCCACCTTCCTTCCATCTATACCCACCTTCCTTCACTCTATACCACCTTCCTTCACTCCTACCGACCTTCCTTCACTCTATATCCACTTCCTTCACTCTATACCCACCTTCCATCACTATACCCACCCTTTCCCTTTACTTTACCCACCTTCCTTCTCTCTGATACCACCTTCCTTCACTCTTACCCACCTTCCTTCACTCTATACACCATCTTCATCCACTCTTAACCATCTTCCTTCACTCTTACTCCACCTTCCTTCACTCTTACCCACCTTCCCCTTCTCTCTATACCCACCTTCCTTCACTCTGTACCACCTTCCTTCACTCTATTTCCCACCCTTCCTTCCCCTCTTGCCCACCTTCCTTCACTCTTACCCACCTTTCCTTCCTCTTATTTCCCTGTTCCTTCACTTTTAACCATCTTTCTTCACTCTTACCCACCTTCCTTCACTATACCCATCTTCCTTAACTCTATACCCATCCTCCTTCACTCTCTCTATACCCACCCTTCCTTCATTCTATGCCCACCTTCCTTCACTCTGTACCCACTTCTTCACTGTACCCATCTTCCTTCACTCTATACCCACCTTCCTTCACTATACCCACCTTCCTTCACTATACCCACCTTCCTTCACTATACCCACCTTCCTTCACTATACCCACCTTCCTTCGCTCTGTACCCACCTTCCTTCACTCTATACCACCTTCCTTCGCTCTGTACCCACCTTCCTTCACTCTATACCCACCTTCCTTCACTCTATACCCACCTTCCTTCACTCTGTACCCACCTCCCTTCACTCTATACCCACCTTCCTTCACTCTATACCCACCTTCCTTCGCTCTGTACCCACCTTCCTTCACTCTATACCCACCTTCCTTCACTCTATACCCACCTTCCCTTCACTCTATACCCACCTCCCTTCACTCTATACCCACCTTCCTTCACTCTATACCCACCTTCCTTCGCTCTGTACCACCTTCCTTCACTCTATACCCCCCTTCCTTCACTCTATACCACCTTCCTTCACTCTATACCCACCTCCCTTCACTCTATACCCACCTTCCTTCACTCTATACCCACCTTCCTTCGCTCTGTACCCACCTTCCTTCACTCTATACCCACCTTCCTTCACTCTATACCCACCTTCCTTCACTTTATACCCACCTTCCTTCGCTCTGTACCCACCTTCCTTCACTCTATACCCACCTTCCTTCACTCTATACCCACCTTCCTTCACTCTATACCCACCTCCCTTCACTCTATACCCACCTTCCTTCACTCTATACCCACCTTCCTTCGCTCTGTACCCACCTTCCTTCACTATACCCAGCTTCCTTCACTCTATACCCACCTCCCTTCGCTCTATACCCACCTTCCTTCACTCTATACCCACCTTCCTTGACTCTATACCCACCTTCTTTCACTCTGTACCCATCTTCCTTGACTCTATACCCACCTTCCTTCACTCTATACCCATCTTCCTTCACTGTTAACCATCTTCCTTCACTCTTACCCACCTTCCTTCACTCTTACCCACCTTCCTTCACTCTTACCCACCTTTTTTCACTATACCCACCTTCTTTGACTCTATACCCACCTTCCTTCACTCTATACCCACCTTCCTTCACTCTATACCCACCTTCCTTCACTCTATACCCACCTTCCTTCACTCTTACCCTTCTTCCTTAATCAGTGGCACCATAGCATTGTTATTGCACCATACTAGCATCACCATGGTACCATACCAGTGTTATTGCACCATACTAGCATCACCATGGTACCATACCAGTGTTATTGCACCATACTAGCATCACCATGGTACCATACCAGTGTTATTGCACCATACTAGCATCACCATGGTACCATACCAGTGTTATTGCACCATACTAGCATCACCGTTTTACCGTACCACTTTTATGGCACCATACCAGCGTCACCATGTTTCCATACCACTGTTTTGGCACCATACTAGCATCACCATGGTACCATATCACTGTTATGGCACCATATTAGCATCACCATGGTATCATACCACTGTTATGGTACCATACTAGCATCACCATGGTACCATACCAGTGTTATTGCACCATACTAGCATCACCGTTTTACCGTACCACTTTTATGGCACCATACCAGCGTCACCATGTTTCCATACCACTGTTTTGGCACCATACTAGCATCACCATGGTACCATACCACTTATGGCACCATATTAGCATCACCATGGTACCATACCACTTATGGCACCATACCAACATCACCATGGTACCATACCACTTATGGCACCATACCAGCTTCACCATGGCACCATACCACTGTTATGGCACCATACCAGCATCACCATGGTACCATACCACTTATGGCACCATACCAGCATCACCATGGTACCATGCCACTTATGGCACCATACCAGCATCACCATGGTACCATACCACTTATGGCACCATACCAGCATCACCATGGTACCATACCACTGTTATGGCACCATACCAGCATCACCATGGCACCATACCAGCATCACCATGGTACCATACCACTTATGGCACCATACCAGCATCACCATGGTACCATACCACTGTTATGGCACATACCAGCATCACCATGGCACCATACCAGCATCACCATGGTACCATACCACTGTTATGGCACCATACCAGCATCACCATGGCACCATACCACTTATGGCACCATACCAGCATCACCATGGTACCATACCACTGTTATGGCACCATACCAGCATCACCATGGTACCATACCACTTATGGCACCATACCAACATCACCATGGTACCATACCACTTATGGCACCATACCAGCTTCACCATGGCACCATACCACTGTTATGGCACCATACCAGCATCACCATGGTACCATACCACTTATGGCACCATACCAGCATCACCATGGTACCATGCCACTTATGGCACCATACCAGCATCACCATGGTACCATACCACTTATGGCACCATACCAGCATCACCATGGTACCATACCACTGTTATGGCACCATACCAGCATCACCATGGCACCATACCAGCATCACCATGGTACCATACCACTTATGGCACCATACCAGCATCACCATGGTACCATGCCACTTATGGCACCATACCAGCATCACCATGGTACCATACCACTTATGGCACCATACCAGCATCACCATGGTACCATACCACTGTTATGGCACCATACCAGCATCACCATGGCACCATACCACTGTTATGGCACCATACCAGCATCACCATGGTACCATACCACTGTTATTGCACCATACCAGCATCACCATGGTACCATACCACTTATGGCACCATACCAGCATCACCATGGCACCATACCACTTATGGCACTATACCAGCATCACCATGGTACCATACCACTGTTATGGCACCATACCAGCATCACCATGGCACCATACACTAGTCAGCATTTCATCTTTCAGGAGACATGGCATGGTAGTATGGCGGGTGGGCAGCAGGCGGGGCATTACCCCCCCATACCCGAGTTCCTTGCCGCTGACCACTACTGGGGGTCGAGCCGCCGCTCCGGCCACCCCATTATCAGACCCAAACCCAGAAGGTAAGTGTACCAGCAAGTGTTGATTTTGTGCACTCTCCAGGTGCCAGCCACTTCCTCGGATCACACCTTGTGTGATCCCTGGATGGTATCCCTGTTTTGCATAACCCCAGTCTGCTCTACCTCAGTACAGGTGATGATAATAGTTTTGAGTGTAGTATTGTGTGCCGTGGCTGGGTTGGTTGGGCAGTCGCCTCACACGCTGAGGTCCGTGGTTCGATCCCCGGTACGGGTGGGAACGTTAGGACGTGTTTCCTTAAGATACCTGCTGTCCTTGTTCCTGCACTGGCCAGCACTGGTCAGACCTGGCCAGTGCTGGCCAACACTGGTCAGACCTGGCCAGTGCTGGCCAACACTGGCCTGCACTGACCAACACTGGCCAGCACTGACCAACACTGGCCAGCACTGACCAACACTGGCCAGCACTGGCCAGCACTGACCAACACTGACCAGCACTGACCAACACTGACCAACACTGACCAACACTGACCAACACTGACCAACACTGACCAGCACTGTCCAACACTGGCCAGCACTGACCAACACTGGCCAGCACTGACCAACACTGACCAACACTGACCAACACTGACCAGCACTGACCAGCACTGTCCAACACTGGCCAACACTGGCCAGCACTGACCAACACTGACCAACACTGACCAACACTGACCAGCACTGACCAACACTGACCAACACTGACCAACACTGACCAGCACTGACCAGCACTGTCCAACACTGACCAACACTGGCCAGCACTGACCAACACTGACCAGCACTGACCAACACTGACCAACACTGACCAACACTGGCCAGCACTGACCAGCACTGTCCAACACTGACCAACACTGACCAACACTGACCAACACTGTCCAACACTGACCAACACTGACCAACACTGACCAACACTGACCAACACTGACCAACACTGACCAACACTGACCAGCACTGACCAACACTGACCAGCACTGTCCAACACTGACCAACACTGACCAACACTGACCAACACTGGCCAGCACTGACCAACACTGACCAACACTGACCAACACTGACCAGCACTGACCAGCACTGTCCAACACTGACCAACACTGACCAGCACTGACCAGCACTGTCCAACACTGACCAACACTGACCAACACTGACCAGCACTGTCCAACACTGACCAACACTGACCAACACTGACCAACACTGACCAACACTGTCCAACACTGACCAACACTGACCAGCACTGACCAGCACTGTCCAACACTGACCAACACTGACCAGCACTGACCAACACTGACCAACACTGGCCAGCACTGACCAACACTGACCAACACTGACCAACACTGACCAACACTGACCAACACTGACCAGCACTGACCAGCACTGTCCAACACTGACCAACACTGACCAGCACTGACCAGCACTGTCCAACACTGACCAACACTGACCAACACTGACCAGCACTGTCCAACACTGACCAACACTGACCAACACTGACCAACACTGACCAACACTGTCCAACACTGACCAGCACTGACCAGCACTGACCAGCACTGTCCAACACTGACCAACACTGACCAACACTGACCAGCACTGTCCAACACTGACCAACACTGACCAACACTGACCAGCACTGACCAACACTGACCAGCACTGACCAGCACTGACCAGCACTGTCCAACACTGACCAGCACTGACCAGCACTGTCCAACACTGACCAACACTGTCCAACACTGACCAGCACTGACCAGCACTGACCAGCACTGTCCAACACTGACCAACACTGACCAACACTGACCAGCACTGTCCAACACTGACCAACACTGACCAGCACTGACCAACACTGACCAGCACTGACCAGCACTGACCAGCACTGTCCAACACTGACCAGCACTGACCAGCACTGTCCAACACTGACCAACACTGGCTCATATACCATTTTCCAGCTAGTTTAAGTCATCAAGATGTCAGACATTATAGGAATGTCAGCAGTCAGCTATACTTGGCGCATGTTTACCTGGAGAGAGCTCTAGGGGTCAACGCCCCCGCGGCCCGGTCTGTGACCAGGCTTCCATGTGAGACCAATCCCGCCACACATCAGCGGGAATTTCAACTGAGTAAGCGTCAGTTGGACCAATCTCATGCAGACTGGTCCTGGAGGGTATTCCGGGGATCAGCGCCCCCGCGGCCAGCTCCACGACCAGGCCTCCCCGTGGATCAGGACCTGATCAACTAGGTTGGTACTGCTGGCTGCATGTAGTCTAACGTACGAACCACAGTCCGGCTGATCCGGCACTGACTTTAGGTATCTGTCCAGCTCCCTCTTGAAGACAACCAGAGGCCTATTTGTAATTCCCCTTACGGCTGGTGGGAGGCTGTTGAACAGTCTTGGGCCCCGGACACTTACTGTTTTCTCTTCGTGTACTAATGGCGCCCCTACTTTTCTCTGGGCATGTGTTGCATCTCCTGCCAAGTCTTTTGCTTTTGTAGGGAGTGATTTCTGTGTGTAGATTGGGGACCAGTCCCTCCAGAACTGTTGAACAATCTACAACATTTACCAAGTGGTACATATCCACTGGTGTCACTAACTTCAGTGGGTTAGTGCCAGTGGGTCTCCTTGACAGTCTTCTTGAGTCAGTAGAACCAGAGGTTCAGATGTTCAGTAGAACCAGAGGTTCAGATGTTCAGTAGAACCAGAGGTTCAGATGTTCAGTAGAACCAGAGGTTCAGATGTTCAGTAGAACCAGAGGTTCAGATGTTCAGTAGAACCAGAGGTTCAGATGTTCAGTAGAACCAGAGGTTCAGATGTTCAGTAGAACCAGAGGTTCAGATGTTCTTACATCACCTTTCAGTGGTATCTGTAACTTTTCTCCCCAGTAGCCATCCTGTAACTTTTCTCCCCGGTAGCCATCCTGTAACTTTTCTCCCCAGCAGCCATCCTGTAACTTTTCTCCCCAGTAGCCATCCTGTAACTTTTCTCCCCAGCAGCCATCCTGTAACTTTTCTCCCCAGTAGCCATCCTGTAACTTTTCTCCCCAGTAGCCATCCTGTAACTTTTCTCCCCAGTAGCCATCCTGTAACTTTTCTCCCAGTAGCCATCCTCTAACTTTTCTCCCCAGTAGCCATCCTGTAACTTTTCTCCCAGTAGCCATCCTGTAACTTTTCTCCCAGTAGCCATCCTGTAACTTTTCTCCCCAGTAGCCATCCTGTAACTTTTCTCCCGGTAGCCATCCTGTAACTTTTCTCCCCAGCAGCCATCCTGTACTTTTCTCCCAGTAGCCATCCTGTAACTTTTCTCCCCAGTAGCCATCCTGTAACTTTTCTCCCCAGTAGCCATCCTGTAACTTTTCTCCCCAGTAGCCATCCTGTAACTTTTCTCCCCAGTAGCCATCCTGTAACTTTTCTCCCCGGTAGCCATCCTGTAACTTTTCTCCCCAGCAGCCATCCTGTAACTTTTCTCCCCAGCAGCCATCCTGTAACTTTTCTCCCCAGCAGCCATCCTGTAACTTTTCTCCCCAGCAGCCATCCTGTAACTTTTCTCCCCAGTAGCCATCCTGTAACTTTTCTCCCCAGCAGCCATCTGTAACTTTTCTCCCAGCAGCCATCCTGTAACTTTTCTCCCAGTAGCCATCCTGTAACTTTTCTCCCCAGCAGCCATCCTGTAACTTTTCTCCCCAGCAGCCATCCTGTAACTTTTTCTCCCAGTAGCCATCCTGTAACTTTTCTCCCAGTAGCCATCCTGTAACTTTTCTCCCAGTAGCCATCCTGTAACTTTTCTCCCCAGCAGCCATCCTGTAACTTATCTCCCCAGTAGCCATCCTGTAACTTTTCTCCCCAGCACCCATCCTGTAACTTTTCTCCCCAGTAGCCATCCTGTAACTTTTCTCCCCAGTAGCCATCCTGTAACTTTTCTCCCCAGCAGCCATCCTGTAACTTTTCTCCCCAGCAGCCATCCTGTAACTTTTCTCCCCAGTAGCCATCCTGTAACTTTTCTCCCCAGCAGCCATCCTGTAACTTTTCTCCCAGTAGCCATCCTGTAACTTTTCTCCCCAGTAGCCATCCTGTAACTTTTCTCCCCAGTAGCCATTCCTGTAACTTTTCTCCCCAGTAGCCATCCTGTAACTTTTCTCCCCAGTAGCCATCCTGTAACTTTTCTCCCCAGTAGCCATCCTGTAACTTTTCTCCCCAGTAGCCATCCTGTAACTTTTCTCTCCATTAGCCATCCTGTAACTTTTCTCCCCAGTAGCCATCCTGTAACTTTTCTCCCCAGTAGCCATCCTGTAACTTTTCTCCCCAGCAGCCATCCTGTAACTTTTCTCCCCAGTAGCCATCCTGTAACTTTTCTCCCCAGCAACCATCCTGTAACTTTTCTCCCCAGTAGCCATCCTGTAACTTTTCTCCCCAGTAGCCATCCTGTAACTTTTCTCCCTAGTAGCCATCCTGTAACTTTTCTCCCCAGTAGCCATCCTGTAACTTTTCTCCCCAGTAGCCATCCTGTAACTTTTCTCCCCAGTAGCCATCCTGTAACTTTTCTCCCCAGTAGCCATCCTGTAACTTTTCTCCCCAGTAGCCATCCTGTAACTTTTCTCCCCTATGTTGGTAATACTGTCTCACTACGTCAGTGTCTTAGTCAAGCTGTCTCACTACGTCAGTGTCTTAGTCAAGCTGTCTCACTACGTCAGTGTCTTAGTCAAGCTGTCTCACTACGTCAGTGTCTTAGTCAAGCTGTCTCACTACGTCAGTGTCTTAGTCAAGCTGTCTGTCTCACTACGTCAGTGTCTTAGTCAAGCTGTCTGTCTCACTACGTCAGTGTCTTAGTCAAGCTGTCTGTCTCACTACGTCAGTGTCTTAGTCAAGCTTTCTGTCTCACTACGTCAGTGTCTTAGTCAAGCTGTCTCACTACGTCAGTGTCTTAGTCAAGCTGTCTGTCTCACTACGTCAGTGTCTTAGTCAAGCTTTCTGTCTCACTACGTCAGTGTCTTAGTCAAGCTGTCTCACTACGTCAGTGTCTTAGTCAAGCT